CTTTGCCCCCCCCCTTCCTCCTGGTCTGCAGACCAGGGGGATGGGGGGGGGCAAAGCAGAGCCAAGCCGCGGAGCGCGCTGCCAGCTGACAGCCCTGTCCGCTGCCCACGTGTTCCGCCGCTTTGCTTCCTCTTCCTAGTCTGCTGGAGACCAGGGAGAGGAAGGGCCCCGTTCGTAACTGCGGATCCGACATAAGTCGGATCCGTGTAACTCGGGGACTGCCTGTATATGAAATTTCTTGTGTAACACCCAATATTGAGAGAGTATATGGATGTGCATCACCTGTACAAACAAACTGTAGATATAAATATATATTAGAAATAGTCCATAGGTGTGGATGAAAATATATTAGACGGGATAATTAATATGAAATCAACTAAAAAAAATTAACACTATCCTTGGCTGTAGAAATGGGTTGTGCCCACAAAAGTTCATGATGCACTAACAAAAATATAAATAGTAAGATGGTACAGGACCATTGTTTTTGAATTACATACTAACACAGCTACCCCACGGAAACCTACATCATCTCTTCTAACATACAGACAGATGCAGGTTTCAAAGATCTTACAAATAAGGTTACATTCTAAAACAGCTAGCATCACACAAAGTACTTGCTATTTCTGACTCATAAGAACCAGAACTCTACCACATAGCAAAGATCTGGCCTTAATGCAATAAAGTTCATCATTTATGTATTAGCAACACAGGATTTAAAAAAAATCATTAAGGTCAGAGTGTTTGACATCTACAACGCTAAAAAAAAATCTGTTAATCTTTTTCTTCATTACCTTAAGTCAGTCGTCTCCAACCTTTTTAAGCACAAGATCACTTTTTGAATTTAAGTGCAATCCAAGATCTACCTCAAATATAAATACCCTTGCCCACCTCCTTCCTATGCCTTCTGCAAGGCCCTTCCCCTTCTCACTCCATCGTCCCTCTCGCCCATCCTCACTCACTTTCATCAGGCTGGGGCAGAGGCCTGGGGTGCAGGCTCTGGTCTTAGATTAAGGGATTTGGAGTGCCTCTGAGCTGCTCTTGGGGAAGGTAGTTGTGATGTAGGGGGGGTTCTAAGTGCAGGCTCTGGGACAGTGTTTGTTTGCTAATACATAAATGATGAACTTTATTGCATTAAGGCCAGATCTTTGCTATGTGGTAGAGTTCTGGTTCTTATGAGTCAGAAATAGCAAGTACTTTGTGTGATGCTAGCTGTTTTAGAATGTAACCTTATTTGTAAGATCTTTGAAACCTGCATCTGTCTGTATGTTAGAAGAGATGATGTAGGTTTCCGTGGGGTAGCTGTGTTAGTATGTAATTCAAAAACAATGGTCCTGTACCATCTTACTATTTATATTTTTGTTAGTGCATCATGAACTTTTGTGGGCACAACCCATTTCTACAGCCAAGGATAGTGGTAATTTTTTTTAGTTGATTTCATATTAATTATCCCGTCTAATATATTTTCATCCACACCTATGGACTATTTCTAATATATATTTATATCTACAGTTTGTTTGTACAGGTGATGCACATCCATATACTCTCTCAATATTGGGTGTTACACAAGAAATTTCATATACCGGTAGACCTACCCAAAAGAAAGTTCTGCTTTCCAAGGATGGAAAAATCTTAGAGGGAACACTAGCTGAGGGCTAGTCTGCAGCAGCCCCTTATCACCTTCCTGTCCCAGATGCTTTCCAGGTTGCTGTAGTTGCCTGCCTTAGAGAAGAGGAGAAGCGAGTACCTCAGACGTACCTTATCCTAGGCTGTCAATCCTGCAGTGCCTGGCCTGGCCCTCAACACCCAATTGGGCACTGCCAGGGCAGAGCGCTCTGCAGCCGGCAGGGGCATGCCTTATCCAGTGCTCAGTGCTGCCAGAGGCCCGTTGCCTCAGCCACCAAACCTCAGCCATCCGCAGGAACTGGCACCTAGCCCTTCCGTGGGTCGTATCACAAGAGCTGAGCAGGTCCCACCGCAGGCTTGCTGGAGACTAGATGGTTCCCAAAGCAATGGGCCCTTGCACTAGGCAGAAGTTCCCCAGCCCTGCACTGCTGCAGCCACCTGCACACAGGGTGAATAGGAAGGGCCAGGGATGGCTGGACTGCTGCCGAGCCCTCCATGCTCCCACACGTTACCCACAGGTGCCGGGCATGATGCTTTTCAGCTGGTGGCATGGGACAGATGGATGGGTCGGCAAGTTGATCCCTACAGCACTGCAGAAACTTGGCCATATGGCTGTAATTAGCTAGATGACCCTGTGGGGAGTCATGCAAGTGCTGGGTGTTCAGAGCCAGCCTAGCAGTGAACTGCTGCCCTTCTCTCTAAAGCTCTTAGGGCAAAATGGGTTGGTACGTGCTTAATGGTTTAGTTTCCTAATTTCCTTGCATTTACGGCGCCGCAATAGCCCCTCTTAAGGTCTTGCACTTTGTACATCAGTTCCATGTGCCATAAACCTACGCCAATGCACTGCCCTCTGACTTATTCCTAAGAAGAACAGGAAAGTGCCTTTTTTGCTTTCTGACTAGCTGCAGCCAGGCATTGACTGTGCCCAAGCTTTACCAATTCAGATTCTAGAACATGCAATGTTTATAAAAAGGTCCAGGCTTTCCTGTAAGTCAGCTTTACCCTTCATAAATCACTTTGCCCAGCCTGATATGATTAGAAAATACAGGACTATGTAGCACTTTAAAGACTAACAAGATGGTTTATTAGATGATGAGCTTTCGTGGGCCAGACCCACTTCCTCAGATCAAATAGCGGAAGAAAATAGTCACAACCATATGTACCAAAGGATACAATTAAAAAAAATGAACACATATGAAAATGATCTTTTCAGAGGAGTCCTATACTTTATGCTTCAAGGACTCGCAAATGTCCATTTCTTTGTGCTTTCAGGCCAGGACTTGTATCCTCTGTCCTTTTACGACAACAGCCCTGGAGACTGGGATCTTTTACATTCTCTCACCTTTCGTGACTAGGAAAGCACTTTTGGTGAAGGAGTCTGAAGAGCTTCCCTTTGATGACTATGACTTCAGCTCCAGTCTAAGAACAGCTTCCATAAGAATAGAAGGAAGGCATTCCTTCCTCAACTTCATCCAGGTCTTGAAGACTAACAGGTAAGTGATCTACATCTCTGATGTAGCCTGCACCCAAACACTGGAGGCAATGTGTGTGGGGGGTGTCGCTAAGGCAAAACTTCCCACAGCCTCGGCAAGATTTGAACCCCCAGGACCTCAATATAGGTTCTCTGGTACCAGGCAGGATTTAAAGACCCACCAGACTGGAAGAACCCCAAAAGCAGGGCTAAATCAAAAGACAGTAACTTAAAGAGCAAAGACCTTTTTCTGTTAATTAATACTGAGCAGACTGAGCTGTTCACAAGGAACACCAATGCTCCAGCTATGAATGGTAAGAAAGAGCAAGAATACAAAGTATAGACAGCACTGCCCTTTATATAAAGCACTAAGGAAAGCCTTCCAGCACCATGGCACCATACACATACAGCCCACAATGTACATAAACAAGCACTTAAAGTAGCATCATTACTGCCAACATTAAATTTTGCTAGAGCACTGTATTTGCAAAATTCCTCATCTTTAAGAAAAGCAAATTTCAGCCATTTTTGCTTAATTCAAAAAAGTCACCACTAGCAGCTCAGACTTCTGGCAAAACATGAAGTAAACAGTCTCTTACATTCTCTTTAGATAGCGGGTATAACTAGGTTGCATGGGGATTTTAAGATTTTATGCGGAAGCAATGGCAGGGAGAAGTGTGCAAGTGCATTCGCACACTTTTACCCTGATAGTGCAGACTTGAGATGTAGGTTCATACCCACTACAATAGCTCTTTAGTGCTTATTACCTGAGCCCCCCCAGTTTTCACCCTACATGGCTTTCTACATACCCAAATAATGCCTCTAACTATAAGTGTAGTATTCTTGATGCCTCCTCCTGCCAGAGCCCTTAGTTGCAGCGTATAGCAATGCTGTGCAGTGACAGATATGTATGGAGCCTGATGCTGCAGTGTAGCATGTATACACAGCAGTGTGTAAAATATGGGCACTACAGGTGAAGCAGACCTAGCTTTAGTTACACAAAGATAATATTCCTTGTAAAATTGTTATTTCATGCCACATATTAAAAACAAAATAATGATTCTGTCCTATATATCAGACATATCATACAAAGCATGAAATATGGAAGGTTGTCTAAGCCACAGTGATCAAGGAAAAGAGTTGAAGGAACTGAGCCAGAAGCCGTAAATAGTAACTTGCCAAGGAATTCAGTCTTACATGCTGGTACTGTACACACACTGCGATTTTAGAAGCCCTGCTTCACACCTTACCGTGCAAATAGCTTGCGTTAGATGCTTGCAGCCTTGGCGATGAGCATTATTTATTGCATAAGCCCTTTGGAAGATTTAAACAAAAAAATGGGAGATTTTAAAGTGGAAAGGTAAGGGGCTCATTAACTTCTTGATAATTAGAATCTCTTAAGTGTGACACTTACTGTTTGTGATACCAGGAAAGGACTCCATGTTCTAGTACTACCCAGTAGAGTTTCCAGCCAAAAAACCTTAAACTCTAAAAAGAGAAAGTTAGTCATTTCAAAGACCATTGCTACTCCTGATAACAGATAGCAGGGCCAGCTTGTAATTATATATATATATATATATATATATATATATATATATATAAATAAAAATAAATAAAAATAAAAATAAATGACTTCAAATATGATTCAAAAACCAGAACTATTAAAATTCTGAACAGAACATAAAAAAACAAATATAAATTTTGTTGCCCCTGAAACACATTTATGGAGTTTTAATGAATAGTGTTACTCAATCGGAACCTTTCCTGGTCAATTAAGTTTGTTTTAATTCAGCACTAGTTATGGTCATCCATGTGTCTGATCCCTTATACTGGAGTGGTTGTTAATACCTACCAGAAAGGCGTTTTACATATTACCTTGATCAAAATAACTCATCTAAACAGTCTGACGTGCAACAGAGAAATGGAGGATGAAATGCAGATAGTGGGAAGTGACCTAAAGGGTTGCAGATGCATGGTGGTCTCTGCTTTTAAGACTTCATAGCAATATTAAGTAACACCTAAATATCAGGCCTTTTAGTCACCATTAGAGATTGAGGGGAGTGCATTCTACAAACTACAGCTTAATATGTTGTTCTTAGGATATAAATAAATAGCTTTGTATCTGGAGTTAGCTGACTATAAATCATTACACTGAATTCTGGTTTAAGCCAAACTATTTATAGGATTTTTAAAAAAATAAATTCACTCTTCAAAAACTTTAGGTACAATAGATGAAGCAACTTTATCAAACATCTAATGGGATTTAGTGGAGTTATATGCATATTTTTGCCTATAATAAGTCATGAGAGATAGAACGTCTCTTGGGAACGGTACAGAACAACATTTTTTTAATTATTACCATCTTCTTTGCTGTTCAGTTTTCAAGGATTTGGGAATAGGATCTATCCAATGGATCATGCTGAACTGCAGTGAACCAGCAATTAGATTATCTAGATACTTATGTGGCCTTCAAAACTGTAGTAGAAGCACTGCTCAGTTATCAATCAAGTTGATCTTTAAAAGTAGGCAAGTACTATCCCCATTGTACAGATGTGAAGTGTGACAAGGCAGATGAAGGGAGATTTTTCCCAATGTCACAGGGAATCTACACCCAGGTATTACACCCAGAAATTTTGAATCTCGGACTAGCCTTCCTGTCCTAGGATTAGGTTGGGAAATGGATTATAAATGTAACAGTTAAGGTATCACTGATAAGTCTCATCTATCAGCCCCCTCTCAAGAACAGAAGACAATCTTCAAGGAGAGATTTGGAAAAAACAATTCATGTTGTTTTACATATTACAAAAAACGGAAAAGAGGACGTACCATCCACAGGAGACCTTCATATCGTTTCAGGCGTTTGTTGATTACCTATATAAAATAAAATATTTTAAAACCAGTCTAATTTTTCCTTGATGAGTGTAACATAGGATCTATTGAACCTACCTTTTCAAGGCTTCCTCCAAGTATCAGTTTCATTTCTGCACCTTGTGCTAGATCAAATGGTGTCTGGGCTGTTTAATAACAGAAATAAAATTCAAAGGAGAGTTTAGCTTTATGCATTAGCTCTGTTGTAGGGCATTTAATGCTGTGTATAGGTATTATAAAGTAATTATACTGGATGCATTTAATATGGCACAAGTGTTGCTTTCCCTCAGAGCTAGCTAGAACAGCGATTGTTTGCTTGTTTGAACATCATCAATAGAAAAAATCTGACTCATCTGAAGTGGGTTGTGCCCGCAAAAGCTCATGGTACTATTTTTTATTTATATACACACACAAATTAGCGTCCAAGAGTACATCTGCACCGTAGTGTTATTCCAAAATAACAGAGTGCACAAATACCCTACAAGCCTTTATTTCAAAATAACGTCAAGATGTAGGACTTCTTACTCCGACTCACGGTAATCCTCATTTCACAAGGAGTAAGGAAAGTCAAAGGAAGAGTGTTCCTTTTGGTGTTGAGATAGCTTAATTTGGCTTTTGGTGCTATTTCAATTTAAGCTACATAATTGATATAGCTGAAGTTGTGTAGCTTAATTTGACTTTAGCCCTGCTATGTAGATGTACCTTAAGGTGCTACAGAAACACTCATTTTATTAATAGAAAACTGCGGTCAGGAGATCAGTATGTTAGCTATAATTCACTTCCTATAGTGAGACACCTTCTGAAATTTCTAGATTTCTACACCAGTACTTCTACTGTACAAAATTATCTGCTCACCTGCTAGACTTGAGCAATTTTTAATCCAAAGATAAATCATATTACATTTGTTATGCTAAAATTATGGGCAAGTTGAATTTTCTAACATTGGTAAGCGTTTGGCTAGGATTACATAAAGTCTAATTTTTCTTATAATTTAAACAGTGTTGCAGTCCATTTAAAATTGTAAGGGTTTTACTTACAATTTTTGTTTCTGATTTTAGAGTCTGCACCATTTTTTAGAAGTTTTAAGGCACAGTGCCTGTGGGCACGGTATGCTGCACAATGTAGTGGTGTATTTCCCATCTGATCAGTGCAGTTAATATCAGGAGGCTTTGGCCTATATAAGTAAAAAAAGCAAAACACAAAAACAGACAGTTACAGGTTAGTTCTATTACACAACGTATAGACCCAGTAACGCTCTGCTCCCTGCCACTTCCCTGGTGTAGAAATATAGACTAGGCATTGACAGGTATGGTGGCAAAAGGGGGCCATGCTATGGGAAGAGTGAGGGCTCCAGCAGTAAAATGAGATGTTCAGTTACAAGTAGCTACTTTCCTGTGTTCGTGGCTCAAATGTCCCCTTCCTATCTCCAATGGGCAAGATAGCTAGGGATGTTAAATCCCAGTTGTGGCTGGGGGCTGCTCCAGCCCAGTGAGGGTGAAGCAACCCCCCATCCATGGCACAGCAGGTCTGAAGCAGCCCCACAACGGTTAACTGGTTACCCAGATAAGCATGATGGTAAGAGACATGCTAACCAGGTGGCTGGTTAACCCTTTACATCCCTAAATATAGAATACAACTGGCTGCATTTCCAAGGTACTCTAGAAACTGAGTTTTTAGAAAGTATTAACAGAGTGCCGTTCTGTTCCTGAAGGAGTCCAAAATAGAGATTCTAAAACAGAGACTTTTACCACCACAGTTTCTGAAGTTGATGAGGACAGTATGACAAAATAAGTGGTCAGTTCATAGTATCTATAATTCTGCATAGGCATGCACCCATCGCTTATGCCCCCAATATAGCCTCATTTCGTTCAAATGAATGTATATTTGTATGTTTTATCATTTGTATGTTTTAACAAAAAAGGCTATACTCAGTTTGGTTTCCAATAACATTTTTTTCTAGTTTTCAGACCTGAAGCATTGATTTAGTTGTGCCAAAACAGAGCACTACTCCAAATTTCTCCATTTTATCTATTTTTTGAAAGGTTTTTGAGAAGCAATCCTAGTGAAGATTCATCCTATTTTTCTGGCTGATCTTGATTCCATCTCTTCCAACATTCATTCAGGTACGTCAATTGTGAGGATTGTACTTGATTTGATGATTCTGTCTCTTTCCTGTTTGGTTTTTTGAGAAGCAATCACATTCCAGGTATGTCCCATTTCTCTGGCACAACCAAACCCTTATGTTGCTTTAAGTTATAAGAGGAAGCTGTATACTGAATTTGGTGGTCCTAGCTCTCACCGTTTAGGAGGAATTTTTGATCAAAAAGACAAACTCTCTAAAATAGTAATGGTTAATGTCTTAAGCAGATACTTTTGGAGTGAGTTGGGGGGGGGGGGGGGCAAAGAAACTTCACCTTGTACAAGTAAACATGAGACCATAATGTCCAGTCCAATGTATGCTAAACTCTTCAAATAAAAGTGGTGTGGTGGATTTATCCTTGGCTCATTTCAAAGGCAGTGATGGAGTTCTACATAAGTGAATCAGTTATCCAGACTTTTTTCCTGTGTTCTCAAACTCAAAATGGGTGAATATTTGCTGTTGACTGAAAGTCTTTGAAAATCCATCCAGCTTTTTGTTTCCAAGACGATTATGCAACTTTTACTGTTACAGCTTTGCAGACCTTGAACGTTATGTCAGTCTCTGGTGTAGGAGGCAGGTGCATCCAGCCATTGTGTTATCAATACTAAATCCTTTTGCTTAGATTTGGCTTCCAGACTGAAATCTGTAGGTAGATTGCTTTGCCAGGCAGGGTGGTTACCTTAATTGTCCTACCTCTCATTCCCATTAATTTTATCTATTATTTTAGACCTCTGTTATACTTTCAAGGAGTATCCTATTTCTCCACATATGAAAATATAGTTAATCTTACTAGTCATGAATTGTTCACTTTATTCGTTGTTTCTCATTGACTGATTCAGTAGTTGGCCTTTTTTTATTTTAGCGACATACTTGACAATTTTAAATTTCTCACTACAATGAGTATTAAAAAATCACAGCTGTGACGTGATTGTGAGCCTCAGTGTGTTGTTTCATGGAGTTTTCTTATTTGCATGTTCTAACCCAGTTTAAAACTTAGCCCCAGCCATGGTTGCTTAATTTTTTTTATGTTCATGGCAAGAAGGATCATAACAGTTGTCCTATATCAGTGCTTCATATTTTATTTTTGTAGTACAGTCCAGGTCTTTATTTTCCAAGAGTGAGAAGCCTTTGAGTGGAGTTTCTTTAGCAAAGAAGTAATTAGTGACATGATTTTCCCCGCAGACGGTACACTTCTCAGTGGTTTACCAAAAAAGTGGCTACCTTCCAACACACCAAACTGTAGAATCTGTAACTTCATATTAATTTTTATTGGCTCTTTCTAGGGTGATATTTTTAACTCGTTCAAAAGGATCACTTTAAGCACCCTGAGTATTCAACAGAAAAGGCATAAGTCAACCACCATTGCATCCAGTAACTTAGAATGGCAGGTATATGGGACTTCTTGCCAAGCCTCAACACATATACAAGGACCCAACAGTACAACTGAAGGTATGTAATTACTAGTCTGCGGCTTTCATGAAGAATATTGTATACCATGCATATATTTTACCATGAAGGTCTTTTTCAGAAGATAGCTTATGAGATAGTTAAATGTCTTAATAATTCATTTCAGAAGCTCAAATTAAGTAATTAGAAAACAAAATTAAAGTGACAAATTGGAGAATTTTATCAGAAATAAACAGGATGAAATTCAAGGCTATTAACACTCAGGCCACAGGTAGGTGTCATGACCATAGTGTGGTGACCATAGGCTACCTTTAAGGTGTCATGTTGTGTAGGTGTCATGACCATAGATAACAGTAATACAATGTATGTGGTTGGGTCTGTTGCTTCTGAATGAATTCTTACTGAGTTTAATGTATTATATTTCAACTTTATAAAGAGCTTTAAGCAACAAAGACCTTTAACTGTTCAAGTCTTTCTTAATACTTTGAAGTTTCTGAACTGAAATACACAATTTAGGATAAAAAGCTAACAACTTTTTGATGTCCTACTCTGTTGGGTTTAATTCCCCCTTTCCCCCCACCCTGATCACCCATTGAATGAATTTCTTAGAAAGAATTTGAAATATTCAGTGTTCTGACAATCCACATGGTTCATTAAGACTGTTGAAAGGACTTAATTTTCAACTATTTTAGTTTAAAATGTTATTACTTTTCCTTATTTACAAGTCGTAAATGTGAAAAATACTTCACATCTTATTGTTTTGTAGACTTAAATTCTAACTCATTTTATCTGCCACTAAATAGTTTTATTTGGTAGTAATCCCTTAACAAAATTAAGGGAGAAGGATTGATCAATTACAATATAAGGTTTTTAAACTAAGAGATGGGAGGAAAGCCGATTGGTGCAGAGAAGCACATAAATCGGATGGAGACTTCTCTTAGAGGAGACTCTATTGATAGATTCTCTAGTCTGTAGTCAGAAAGAGAGGAGGGGAGAGGACAAACAATGGGCCAGAGCAGACAAATAACCACATATAAAGGAATCCAAAGCATCAGGGAAGGGCAGACAAGTAAATAGCGGATATTTTTTAAAGTGCTTCTACACAAATGCTAGGAGTCTGACTAATAAGATGGGTGAACAAGAATACCTTGTATTAAAGGAGGAGATTGACATAATAGGCATCACTGAAACCTGGTGGAATGAGGAAAATCTGTGGGACACAATCATACAGGGATATAAAATATATCGGAAGGATAGAGCAGGCCATGTGGATGGTGGAGTGGCACTGTATGTGAAAGATAACATAAAATCAAATTAAATAAAAATCTTAAATGAATCAACATGATCAATAGAATCACTACAGATAATAATTCCATGCTCCAATAATAAGAATTTAGCAGTAGGGATATATTATTGACCACCTGACCAGGACAGTGATACTGACATTGAAATGCTAAGGGAGATTAGCGAGGCTACCAAAATAAAAAACTGTGTAATAATGGGGGATTTTAATTATCCCCATGTTGACTGGATACATGTAACCTCAGGAAGAGAAACAGAGAGAAAATTTCTCAGTGGCTTTAATGACTGCTTCTTCGAGCAGCTGGTACAGGAACCCACAAGGGGAGAGGCAATTCTCGATTTAATCCTGAGTGGAGTGCAGGATCAGGTCCAGGAGATAACTATTACAGGACTGCTTGGGAATAGTGACCATAATATAATGTTTAACATTCCTGTGGTGGGAAAAACATCTCAGCAGTCCAGCACTCTGGCATTTAATTTCAAAAAGGGGAATTACACAAAAATGAGGAGGTTAGTTAAACAGAAATTAAAAGAACAGTGACTAGAGTCTGCAAGCTGCATGGAAACTTTTAAAGACGCCATAATAGAGGCCCAACTTAAATGTATACCCCAAATTAAAAAACAAAACGAGAGCTGAAAAAGAGTCACCGTGGCTTAACCACAATGTAAAAGAAGCAGTGAGGGACAAAAAGGCATCTTTTAAGAAATGGAAGTCCAATCCTAGTGAGATAAATAGAAAGGAACATAAAAACTGTCAAATCAAGTGTAAAAATGTAATAAGAAAAGCAAAAAATGATTTTGAGGAACAGCTAGCCAAAAACTCAAAAAACAATAGCAAAATATTTTTTAAGTACATTAGAAGCAGGAAGCCTGCTAAAAAACCAGTGGGTCCCCTAGACAATCGAGATACAGAAGGAGTAATCAAGGACGATAAAGCCATTGCAGAGAAACTAAATTATTTCTTTGCTTCAGTCTTCACGGCTGAGGATGTTGAGGAGATTCCCAAACCTGCACCGTCCTTTGTGGGAGTTGAATCTGAGGAACTGTCCTGGATTGAAGTGTCATTAGAGGAGGTTTTGGAACAAATGGAAAAACTTAATGTGAACAAATCACCGGGACCGGATGGCATTGACCCAAGGGTTCTAAAAGAACTCAAATGGGAAATTGTAGAACAGTTAACTGTGGTTTGTACTCTATCCCTTAAATCGGTTTCCGTGTCTACTTACTGGAAGATAGCTAACGAGACACCAATATTTAAAAAGGGCTCTAGAGATGATCCTGGCAATTACAGACTGGTAAGTCTAACGTCGGTACCGGGCAAATTAGTCGAAACAATAGTAAAGAATAAAATTGTCAGGCACGTAGAAAAACATAATTTGTTGGACAAAAGTCAATATGGTTTCTGTAAAGGGAAATCCTGTCTTACTAATCTGTTAGAGTTCTTTGAAGGGGTTAACAAACATGCAGACGAGGGATCCAGTAGATATAGTATACTTAGATTTTCAGAAAGCCTTTGACAAGGTCCCTCACCAAAGGCTCTTGTGTAAATTACACTGTCATGGGATAAGAGGGAAGGTCCTTTCATGGATTGAGAACTGGTTAAAAGACAGGAAACAAAGGGTAGGAATAAATGGTAAATTTTCAGAATGAAGAGGGGTAACTAGTGGTGTCCTCCAAGAGTCAGAGCTAGGATCAATCCTATTCAACTTATTCATAAATGATCTAGAGAAAGGAGTAAGCTGTGAGGTAGTAAAGTTTGCGGATGATACTAAACACGGGAGCAGACTGAAGAACTTCAAAAAGATCTCACAAAACTGAGTGATTGGGCAACAAAATGGCAAATGAAGTTTAATGTGGATAAGTGTAAAGTAATGCATGTTGGAAAAAATAACCCCAACTATACATATAGTATGATGGGGGCTAATTTGGCTACGACAAATCAGGAAAGAGATCTTGGAGTTATTGTGGATAGTTCTCTGAAAACTTTTACACAGTGTGCAGTGGCAGTCAAAAAGGCAAATGGGATGTTAGGAATTATTAAGAAAGGGATAGAAAATAAGAGCCAAAATATCTTATTGCTCCTGTATAAAACAATGGTACGCCCACATCTTGAATACTCTCTGCAGATGTGGTCTCCTCACGTCAAAAAAGATATTTTGGCCTTGGAAAGGGTTCAGAAAAGGGCAACTAAAATGATTAGGGGTTTGGAACAGGTCCCATATGAAGAGAGGTTAAAGCGACTGGGACTTTTCAGTTTAGAAAAGAGGAGACTGAGGGGGGATATGATAGAGGTATATAAAATCATGAGTGGTGTGGAGAGGGCGAATAAAGAAAAGTTATTTATTAGTTACCATAATAGAAGAACTAGAGGACACCAACTGAAATTAATGGATAGCAGGTTTAAAACTAATAAAAGAAAGTTCTTCACACAGCGCACAGTCAACCTGTGGAACTCCCTGCCAGAGGAGGCTGTGAAGGCTAGGACTATAACAGAGTTTAAAGAGAAGCTAGATAATTTCATGGAGGTTAGGTCCATAAAAGGCTATTAGCCAAGGGATAGAAATGGTGTCCCTAGCCTCTGTTTGTCAGAGGCTGGTGATGGATGGCACGAGATAAATCACTTGATCATTGTCTTCAGTCCACCCCCTATGGGGCACCTGGTACTGGCTACTGTCGGCAGATAGGCTACTGGGCTAGACAGACCTTTGGTCTGACCCAGTACGGCCACTCTTATGTTCTTATAAGGTAATAATATTTTATTAAAAAAATAGAAAATTCTATTATTGTGTTCACTCTATACAAACGTACTTTGTAAGGTCAAAAAAACTCCTACACAACCTTTGAGTAAAAGTTCAGATTGACCAAACAGGTTAAATATCCTTAACAAAAAAAATGGCACTTTTATAAAGAAAGGAAGCTGAGGCTTGTGTGGTTGTTTATAGTAAGGGGGTATAGGAATGGAATAAAAATATATTTGAAAATCTGTGAAAGGCAAGATTGTCAAACAATTTCAGTAATTCTAGTTGGTCTGCCCTTGGATTCCAAGGTGATAGACACATTAACAGAACTGAGACACCCCTTCTCTCACCCCATACATGCCTTTTAAATACACAAAGCTCAGGCAACTCCACAGAATAACATGTTTAGTTGACCACACCTTGGATGGGATAGCCTGATACCATGAATTGAAACTTTCTTCTTCGAGTGGTTCCTCATGTTCATTCAAATCAGGTGTGTGCACCGTGTCTTCCGGAGTGTTTTCCCTAGCGGTACGCATAGCTCTGGCAGGGCGCCCCCGGAGTGGCACCGCTATGGCAGAACATAAGTACCCCTGCCAGTGCTCCCCCTCCTCAGTTCCTTCTTACCGCCTGTGGCAGTCATTGGAGCGTGTCTCTCTGTTAGAGCAGTTAATGGTTCCTGTTTCTCTTGGCAGTTCTTTGTTTTTTCCTTCTCCCCTTTCGGGGGTGAGGAATGCCTGGGCTGCAAGGCTATAAGGCTTGCGCTGTATGCGCTAAATTCATGCCCAAGGGAGACCCTCATGATAGCTGTTTAAAGTGTTTGGGTGAGGGTCACCTAGCAGACGCCTGTAAGATCTGCAGGTCGTTCAAGCTCCACATGAAGAGGGAGCGGGACTCTCGTTTGAAGCTTCTCCTCGTGGAGGTGGCTTTACAGCCGGCACCGACTGGACATTCCATGGTGCGCAGTGCACCGGCGTTGACGCTCTGTCCCATGCACAGACT